AGGAAATTATCTATATTGGAGCTACCACCAGAATGATACGGTCCCGCATCCTCGAACATCAAGAAGACATTAGAAATAATAGACCAGCTACAGAATTAGCGAAAAAGGTGCTAGAACAAGATTATCTTCCACTTTGGAACCATGTTAAATTACTTAAGCATTGCAATGATCGTAGGCAAATATTCATATGGGAAAATCTTTATATATCCGCTGCTTTGCCGTGTAATGCGCCGACATTGGAAATACCACAGCTATGGATAACTTTATTTAAACAATCCAAGTTATAATTTTGTGTTCTAATTTTATTCCATTACTATGCACGGCACCATCAATCAATATTTATATGTTTTGGGGAATTCAAGTTATTACAGCAGGTTTCTTTAAAAAAAATATTTATTTATTCAATTTTATTAATTTGATCTATATTCCATCCAATGGCATTATGTAATTTGGAAAGTCCGTTAAAAGCTGTCAATTCGAAAACAAAGGTATTCGATTTCTCCTGAAGACGACGGTTGTAAAGTGTTGAAAGTACTAGCGAGCACGTCTGAAATTTAACAAATTGCTGTCAATAACGCTGCAACACGGAAGTGTCATATTTTTAATTTCTAGATGCTGGCATGAAGTGAACTACATTTTCATTCGGAGATTTCGTGTTATAGACTTTAAATTTTTTATAAAATTTTAATTAAACTTGGGATGCAACTTTATTGAGACAGAACGAGTTATAAAAAATTAAAAGAGATAAGGGAAACATAAAATCTGGTTAACCCTCGATTCCCATGAGTTGGGTTCCTAGTTGATATGAGTACATCTCTGTGTCACGATTGTGTACCCATCACCTTATTGGTCCAAGGAGATCGTCATCCCTGACGAAATCGGGGAAAGGCCCGAAAAGAGGACTTTGTATAAAAAGGATAGACACGATGAGTAACGGGATGGAAGTTATTATTTGATTGTGTGCGCACCATGCCGAGATTTTCTTCGAGAGACTGTTCGTGTTCGTCAATCAACACCTCCTCCTCGCCTACTGAACTCGAAGATGTCAACAATTCACCTACTTAACTTCAAACTGTGGGACTTTATTGCAGTTATTCGATCAACAGTATAATATAAGGTATTTATCCTGCTCGGATACACTATTATACGCTCTCTCTCTCTGCATAAACCAATTGCGAACTTGATTGTAACTAGGAAGTGAAATAGAATGAACGCGATTCATGTAACTGATATGTAGCAACTTAAATTCCGATGTATAACTAACTTAGATTTCATATAAATAAACGGTTATTTATGTTTAAAGCAACTTTGAGTGCAGCTTCTTCCATTCTTCTCTCTGTTCACTCCATTCCGGGTCCAAACCTCGTATGTAACCACTTGCTCAAACTTGTGGTCACTGTATTGACCTAAGGATACAGTGGTGTCATCCTGACGTGGTATCAAAGAGATACCGACCTATCCACTATGGGGCCCAACAAGGGGATGCCGTCACATGAAGTACTTTCATAGACTGTCATACCAGGGTTTCCCAGGAGCTATACCTTCAGAATGCTGTTGAGAAGAGCACATCTTGACTGACATGACAAAACTGTCAAGCAGGGTCATGTCTGCCTGGTCTGCATCAATTGGTTGACTCCAGGCCAAGGTCAAGAATGACTCAACGACTAGCCAATTGACTCAAATGGAGCCTGATTTGAGCCTCTCATTTATCTGAAACAGGGCCAAAGCAGTGTGTTGGGGACGTTATGTTGCCCCTCAACTACCTAGATCCCCATTTCCAGCATACAGGACACCATGCACAGCAAACACATGGGTGGGCGTTCAGATCCCAGGGATGGTTAAAAAAAGTTACTAAACCATCTCTGGGAGGTCCCCTTACCACGGGCAGGAATCCACATTGAGGGAGTGGTGCCTTGGATTCACAGTAGTTTTGTACAATGCCCTACCATAATAGTCAATTAGAGACTATTATGGTAGGGCATTGTTTCTGCTTTGCTGAAAGTTAATCTTTTCAGTTGTAGGTCTGAGTCAATCATTTTTTGCCTATTTTTAAGGGCAATATTTTCAATCTGCAGGTTTTGGTGTCCAAAGGAGTAGTATGCCAAACAGAATTTATTCATTCTAAAAACATGACCAAACCACTGCACTCTGAAATTGTGCCATTTTATACTATCTGAGTGTTGTGATAAATATGACAATGGAAGGCAGAAATATCCAAATTGTTTATATGATTTTGGTTTTAATATTTGTTATATCATTATATTTGATTTATATAACTACAAATGTTATCTTATGTAAGGGTTTGTCACACCAATTGACCAATCTAACATATCTTAAAAAATTTTATTCCTCTACTGTCACAAACTTAAAGAATTTTTAAAATGTGTTAGATTGGTCATTTGGAGTGATAAACTTTTATGTAAGATAATCTTTGTAACCTTATATAATCAAAAACTATAATCTAATATAATAAAAGGGTTAGAAGTATTGTACGAAATAATCTAATAAGCTTAATGTTTGTACTTATTTTTTGCCTGGGTAATGCTGGACTTACCTGCTAGTAATTATTAAAACTAATACAAGATGGCAGCTTATCCATTATTTCTAGTCAAATTAATGTAACCCAAAAACAGCCCAATATTTGGAAGATCACTTGGCAGTAATGATCTAGATTTAGGAAGTAGGCAAACTTTGTTCACTAAATTAAATATAAGAAAATTATGCTTTCTCAGTGCAGAATTTTGAAATTTTTAAAGAAATGAAATGTATTTTATAATATTTAAGTTTTAATATCTTTTGAATTGTTTTGTTTTTTTGAAAAATGTATGCCTTGAAAGTAAGCAGTTATTTTTAAAACACTTTGATTTTAATCATTTCAGGCTTCATTATATAGAAGTATAATTTTCTTATATTATTTTTCTTAGTTTAGAGAGTTTTTAAATTGACTAGATTAAATTTCTCTTCAATAAAATATGCTAATGAAAATATTCTGATGCAAGTATATAGTATTCTGTCCTGAAATACAAATAGATAATATAATTAAATTTTCTATTTTGTATTAAAGACATAATTATTGTTTGTTAAGTATTGTAGTTTATTTTTAATTATTAATTATTTTTCTATAGTTCTTGAACAAGTTAAAAGTTCAATAGAAAAACAAGAAATCATAAATGAAGAGGTTAGTAATGGTAAGTATGAAAATTGCCAATAGTTTTTATATTTTTTTAAGAAAATTAAAAGTGTAAAGAATACTTATTGAATTATAGTATAACCCCATTTATCAGGCTCAAACAGGACTGATGATCAAAAATCCAGATAATCCAGAAAATTCATTAACGACATAAATAACACAATTTATACAGTAGATATTTTATTTTAAATTTTTAATTTCTTCGCCATTGTAGCAACCATGCTCTTTCTTTTAGATATCATTTCCATAGTGTTTACTTTACTTCACATAATGTTGAAGGTGACTGTAACTTAGCAAAGCAATAGTAGCTATGGGTATCAAGTGAATAATAACTCACAAAGTTACAAATGATAAACTTATTGACTTATTTAACTTATTTAACACATTGACTAGAATGAGAAGAATAGCATTTTTATTCAATGAGAAAGTAGCAATTTTTTATAATTGAAAATCTTAAAAGATTAGAAAAGATTCAGCAAGATATTAAGTAAACTCAAAAAACACTCCCATTGAATGCATAACAATTATGCATTCAATGCCGATTCGTACAAAACAATTATATCCTTAATTATAAATTCAAATTAAATTACAGGAAGACATTGAAATAGAAACAAAGCAACTTTTTAAAAAATATTTATTAACTAACTATTCGAAGAATATCATATGTAAGTGGTGAATATTATATAAATCATAGATATAATGTTAAAAATGAAAAGACCGACACACTATATATTAATTTTCCATATATAAATCATTTATTTGAAAAATATAAACCAGAATTTAATAAATTCTCTATTCGTATAGTAGCAAAACAAAAAAATAGGTTAATGGATATACAGTAGTGGCCAAAAGTAGAGCTACACTTGACATATGTTTTAAAAATGCGACCTCTATTTTGTTCACCACCTACTACATAATAATATTGTGATAGTTGAAAAGAGCACCAAAAAAAAAAATAGTCAAAATATTCAATTAACTCAAACAGATTATATTTTAAATCTGATTTACAAAAGAAAAAAACAAAGTTTTTATATTTTACACTGTGACAAAAGTAGAGCTACCAAAGGAAGTATGCAGATTTGTCCAGTATTTTTAGGACAAAATATTAGTATATACTCAGCTTCTTTTTAAAACACTTAATAAAACACTTAACACCTTATAACGCTGAGAATATCTATTAAATCACAAACGTTTTTAGCCTAATGGAATAGGCCATCATCAGGTGACTGGTTATCAAACGAATTTGAAAATTGTGTTAAAATGGAACTTTCGAACATTATAAATTCAAAATTAAAATGAAAAATAAATTAGCCAACCAAAATACAAAATACTAATAACTATACTAAATACATTGAAGCTATATTAATATAAATAATAAAATAAGGCAATATAAAAAGAAAAATAAAAGATTAAATGCATAAAAATATACACAAAAATCATCACATTATAAAGGGCAGATAGGAACTAAGAATTTGTGTGTTTTAACTTTTGTTTTATAAAGAACTTCCATGCCGAAGCTAAACCATCAGCATCCCTTGCATTGATACAGCCATCTCTTAATTTACTGTTATAGATTTCAATCTTTTCATGTTGCAAATTGAACAATGGGGTCTGCACAGTCTTGAGAATAGATGCTTCATTCCATTTATCTAATGAAGCCTTTACTTGTGTCATACTTGACAAAACCGTGGTACAGTGTCCTTTGTTAATGTCATATCTGTGTTCTTTAAGCCTAATAGCCAAATTCCGTCTAGTGACTCCAATATAGTCCTTCATAATTCCTAGCTGTTGGTTTTCAAAGNCCTTTACTTGCGTCATACTTGACAAAACCGTGGTACAGTGTCCTTTGTTAATGTCATATCTGTGTTCTTTAAGCCTAATAGCCAAATTCCGTCTAGTGACTCCAATATAGTCCTTCATAATTCCTAGCTGTTGGTTTTCAAAGGGAATTTTATACACGCCCACTGTTTCTTCTTTCTTAATCTTGTTTTTATTGTTTCTGAGAATACTATACAAATTAGGACCTTTTTTGTAAACAGTTTTGGAGTATTTTTTGTCTGAAACTTGCTTCATGATGTCTCTGAAGTTTTTATTATATGTGAATTTGGTGATCTTAAATTGATCTGTTTGGGTTCTTAACCTTTTGCCTCTTTCATAACTTTTAATTAATCCTTCAATTGTATTTTTACGGTAACCCAATTTTGAAGCTACTTTTTTGATTCTGTCAATCTCCTTAATCCTGTCTAGTACACTAGAGCAATATGTAAACGCTCTCCTAATGAGTGCACAAAATGCTGACATTTTGTATCCATACAGGTCATTCGAGTTAGCTGGTATGTAGAGAGGACTGTGCATTGTTTCTATGTAAATGCCCATTGTTATGCAATCTCCTTTTAATTGTATGTCAATATCCAGAAAATGAATTTGTTTGTGACTCTTCTGTTCTAGTTTCAGTTTTAAACCATCATTGTTGGTGTTGTTAATAGCCTGTATGAACTCGTGTATTCTTTCGCCATTTCTCCAGATAACGCACACGTCGTCCACATATCTTTTGTAAAATACAATATCCTTTTTGAAGCTATTAACAACGTGCTTTTCTAAGTTGCGTAAAACCAGTTCGCATAACAACCCTGACATTGGGCTTCCCATAGGTACGCCTTTCTTCTGTCTGTATACCTGCTTATCATAGCTGAAGAAGGACTTATAACATACTAACTTGGCTAATTCCTTCAAATCATTCTTAAATGCACCAACTTTTGGTTTTATGTGGAGCATAAATTCGATTAAAGCTTTGTAACAGGATTCTATCTTTACCAATGGATACAGGCTTTCAAAATCCATAACGGACACAACTTTTTCATCATCATCAATTAAACTTTACTCTTGTAACTCCTTAACTACATTGGTCGGGTTATGTGCAACAAGATTAATGTTACATAACTGATCTGAAATGAATCTATGTAAACATTTTTCCAAAATATATGTGGGCTTTCTGCATTTCTCCACCACAGGTCTGACTTCTTTGCCTTCCTTATGTATTTTTGCAAAGGCAGTCCTTGGAATTGCTGGCTTCAGGTTATGAGATCATTTAAGAAATGTTAATGCAGAGCTTAATGGAGCTTGTTCAAGTTTTTTTACTCTTCTGTGCACGTTTGTGACAATGTTTTTATTTACCTGCTCACATTCTGTTCTTCTAATGTATTCTTCCAAGGCTTTGTTATAGCTTTTTCTTTTCATTATAACCATATGTTTACTTTTGTCAGCTCATGTTAGGACCAATTCATTGTCACTCAATCACTGTTTTGCACATTTTAGCTGTTCTATTTCAATATTCTTCATTCTGCAGGTGCGATCCTTAAGAACAGTCTTCCATCAGAAAAAATCCTGATGGAAGACTTTTCTTTTATAAGAAAAGTTAGAACACACAAATTCTTAGTTCCTATCTGCCCTTTATAATGTGATGCTTTTTGTGTATATTTTTATGCATTTAATCTTTTATTTTTCTTTTTATATCCCCTTATTTTATTATTTATATTAATATAGCTTTAATGTATTTAGTATAGTTATTTTGTATTTTGGTTGGCTAATTTATTTTTCATTTTAATTTTGAATTTATAATGTTCGAAAGTTCCATTTTAACACAATTTTCAAATTCGTTTGATAGCCAGTCACCTGATGACGGCCTATTCCATTAGGCTGAAAACGTTTGTGATTTAATAAATATTCTCAGTGTTATAAGGTGTTAAGTGTTTTATTAAGTATAAAAACTTCATTTTTTTCATTTGTAAATTAGATTTAAATTAAAATTTGTTTGAGTTAATTGAGTATTTTGACTATTTTTTGTGATCTTTTCAACTATCACAATATTAATTATGTAGTAGGTGGTGAACAAAACAGAGGTCACATTTTTAAAACATAAGTCAATGGTAGCTCTACATTTGGCCACTACTGTAATTAATATTATAAATAAAGAAGACCAAAGAATACTAGGAAAACAATTTGAAGTTGCAGGAGTCATTTATAAAATATTATGTACGTGTACTAGCCTGAAGTTTTACATACGAGAAACAGGAAGAAGATTGGAAAAAAGGTTAAAGGAGCATGAGGCGGCAATCTGTTTAAAAAAGACAAGAATCATCGTGGTACCAGCACTGTAATAGTTTTAATTGTAAAATTATTTGAAATAATGTTATCTAATGTTAAAGTATTATACAAGGCTAAAAATTTGTTCAAAAGAAGACTCATTGAACATTTTTGTATTAAAAAAATTATGCAAATGTAATTAATTTAAATATGGGTATGACTGCAGTTGCATGCTGGGACGAAATAGTCCAGTATAAAGGAACAACAGTTGGCAAATGAATGCATCCACTGATGAGGCCAGTTAAAACTAATGAAATGCATTTGGAATTGTTGAAAATGGAATATTTGGAAAAAGTTAAAATAAAGGTCTAGTATTCATTTGTTTGCCTTGAAAAATTGCTCGAAATCAGATGTAAAGTGTATAATATTACTTGTTAATACTCTAGAGATATTTTATTTTTAGATTTAACATTTTTAAAGAAGTATATTCTTGCAAGCTCAAGCAAGAATGCACATAGGAGTTATTTGGTTTTTTATTTATTTTTTCATTTATAGGTTTTCTGTATGTCTATCTTTTATACTTCTGAGACAGAGATTATGTTTTATAATTCAGATAAATGGGATTCCACTGTATGAAAATTTTGATATAAATTTCCTATGATCATTTAAAAATTTTTTGATTAAGTGATAGAATGATTGTGAATAAAATCAGATTTTACATAAAAAATAGACATTATCAAAAATGTTCTACAAAGTTTGTTTATCAATAAAACTTTTTTTTTTGAAATTGTTTAATTTACATAAATTTAACTAAGAAAAATCTCAACTTGCCATTATGAATTATTTTAACTTTTTTCATAGCTTAAAGAGAGAGAGATTAGCAATGTTCATCTCTAAAGCCATTCAAATGTTTTACCAGATTTATTCATTTTTCTATGAAATATCATTTTAATGTATTTTTATTGAAAGGTTTAATCACAATAAATGTATACAAATATTTGATGATAGTAATACTTTGGATTCAAATAATATTTAGAAATTAGAAATTTGAAAAAATATGGACCAGAATGTACATTTGAGATAATTTTGTGATCTGTTAAATAAAAATGAAAGAATAGGATTCTTGTGTCGTATATATAAGTTAAAAATCCAAGTATATCTTTATCTAGTATCATTGCAGTTATTTGTTAATACACAAAAGTACACTGCCAGAAATGAAAATCCCAACATTAAGAAGTTATACTAGGTGAGTGAAAATTACATAGAAAATACAATAATCTATATGATTTATTACATTGATATGAGCTTTGAGAGTATAGCTCACAAAATGTGAGTGCAGCATCATATGAAAGTTAAATATTGTCCATTTCAGTATTCTCTGTAGTTACTGCCAATTTGAATGCAGGCATCTGCTTGAGCATACATCTAATCATAGAGGTATTGGATGTCATCCTGTGGGATGGCATCTTGCACTTGCTGCACCTGTAGAGTCAGACTGGCAATGCTTGTTGCTGGTTGCAGATCCAATCATGTCCCACACACACACTATTGATGAAAGATCTGGTGACCTTGCTACCCAGGATAACACATTGACATCTCAAAGAGCATATTGGGTTGCATCCACAGTAAGAGAATAAGCTGAAACAGTCCTGTTGAAAAGTCTCTCCTCAATACTGTTTATGAATGGCAGAACAATGGGTTCAGTTGCCATTCTGATGTAAACATTTGGTATTGTGGTGTATAACCACTAGAGATATCATTAAAAATATCTTTTCGGACCCATAATGCATAGGGTTGGACTAGTATGTTGACGATGGATACTACTTGCCAACATTTTTCAGGCTTCCTCCTGATTGTGTAATTCCACCAGTACCAAGGCAGAAAAGTCTCTCTTTTATAAATACCGTAGAATTCCATTCTGCCTTTCAATGGGCTCTTGTGTGACACCATTGATGACACATTCAACAGTGGGGTAGGAATGAGTGGCAAACATGCCACAGGACATCTGGAGCAGATGCCAGGACATCTGGAGCACTTTCCAGTAGATGGTTCTGAACAATTCTTGTGTTAATACAGGGTGTCAATGCTGCTTGAATTTCCACCACAGATGCTCTCCGATCCTCCAGGGACATCCTGTATATATGACAATCTTCTTTCTCTCCAGAAACCTGGAAAGATCCAGATTTCAGTCTTTTGATAGTAATGCTTGTTAAGGACCATTGCTATCAACAGTTGTACATGGTGGACATGACTCACTTTTTTCATGATCTCATGAATGAAAATTTATCCTTTCATGGCCTACTACATAGCTTTGTTCAAACTGAATTAATGGATGATATGCAATTTATTGTCACTTTGGTGGTATTCTGTACATTGTAGTTAATATCACCACAGCTTTTTCACAGTGGTGCCAGTGCTTATAAATAGTTCCACACATCTTTTGGAAACTTCTAATTTGCATTTGCTGTTGCATTGTACATTCTGTGAGTTGTGCTCTTGAAACTGATATCACTGTAATAAATCATATAGATAAATATTCTGTATAATTTTTGTTTATCTTCAGGTGCCTATTATAGTGTGCCTCTTTTTGGGATTGATCTAGTATATGAATCAATTCAATCACATCCAATGCTGGACAAACAACATGATATGTTTTCTGCGCAGTTGCCGAGTATTTATTTCCATGTCTATATACAAAATTTACAACTATATGTTGAACTCGAGACGTAAAGTGTGCGGTGAAGATGTGACCGAGTAAAAGTTTGTCGACCAGAAGAGTGAGGTTAGCCTCGGTCTGATTACACATAGGTTGGAAACAGTAGTCAAGTGCCGTGTTATCAACTGCTGCAACCTAATATAATTTCTCTTTGGTGTTGGGATTTCTATTTCTGGCAGTGTATCTATTGACTTGGATCATAAATTGTCTTATCTTAGAATCTAGGTTTAATGTTTCTCTCAAAATTTTCTTTAAAATATAAATATTTCCTTTCTTGCATCCAAAAGCAATTTTCAGTATATTTTATAATCCAAATATCATTAATTTATACACATTTATCTACTTAGAGTCTAGTGATAATTATTAATTTAAAAAAGTGAATAAAAACTTAATATTCATATTTGTAAATTTTATATTCATTTTTATAAGTTAATACTGAAATTCACATTTAATTTTAGTATAAAATTTCATAATACTGTGTAAGAAATAATCATGTCATTAGATTACATTTAAAATATTGAGTAACAAAAGTAGATAAATAAATAGTTTTTCTTCTTGCTTTCTGAATATTTCGTTATCAGACACGAATAAAATAATTTTTTCAGAAGCAAAAATTAAATTTAATTTGTTTTGCATTTTCAGTTGATCATATTTACATTTTCTTATAATTCACTTAACTAATTGTTAAATATGTAATTTACTATTGTCATTGTTTTTTTAGTGCTTGAAAGAATTACTAGTTCAGTGGAAAACAAATTAATAACAACCAGTGGTAATTATCATTCATCTATATATAAGTTATATAATGTCTAAAAAAAATATACTTTTAATTTATTAGTAATTAGACTAATTTAAATTATTTAAAAATTAATAATTATCAAATTGCGATGATTATGTATTTGTGATTTTTTTTGTACTTATTATTTTTTAGCAGAGTTACATTAATTTTAGTATAAACAAATAAACTTTATAAGTGAAAGACCAACTTTAATGAATGGAAATTTTCTTCATACTTTTGATACCAATATTTTAATAAATAATAATTTTTTATTTTTCTAAATTGAACTTTAAAAAATTGAAAAATTTTTATATATTTTCTGAAAAATTTTAGTTGATTAAATTGATATAACATTTGACAATAAAACCTGTTTCAATTTGTGTATTTGCAAAATTACTACATTAAAACAAAAAACTACAGTATGGGTATTTCAAAAAGGATGCAATCCTCTATTGAGTTTTTGTGTTTAAATTTGACAACAGACAACTTACAAAAGATGCACATGAGATATCTATGCACAGTACCTTTACAACAGAAGTTGAAAATGATTTCCTGCAACTTGGATGTGGGTTTGAAGCTGCTTTGTCATATTTTCAGCCGTCTTGTGTAAGTATTGTTTTGAAAAACTACATGTTTCAAATATCTTTAAAGGTAAAAGTCTGTGGACCTTGCGGGCCACAATTTTTTTAAAATCAAATGATGATCAAAAAATTTCTTCAGTGTGACCATTATTTCATTTGTAGTTTGGGCAGTCATACCATCTTGTTGAAACAGTCTCTCTCATTCACATCCAATAGTGCAATAAAAGGTTGAATGCAGTCATGTTAAACTTCACCAGTTACAGTTGTAACATAAAAGAAAGCTCATCACACAATGATGGGAAATTGCATATTAAACACCAATTTTTCATGAATGTAATTCTCACATAAGTTTGACTAGCACATGACAAGGTCATTTTAATGACTATAGGATGTTAACCTTGAGTGCTGCTACCTAATAAATATTATGCCATAAAATGTATATGCATGTAAGTTCTGCATTCTTTTTGAAACACCTTGTATATTAATGCTTTATTGAGTTACTTCATACTTTTTTTTTTATTTTATAAACTTCACACACAGTCAGTCTCCTACTTAGACAACTATTGACTTGAAACATTGTAGTTGTGATGGTCAAATTTAGTGTATTAAAAGAAATCATGTGAGTCCAAAAAGTCAGTTGCAGTTGCTTTTCATTCAACAAATTTATTTGTGTTTAACTTGAATCCACATCATGCCAAAAAGCAAAAATGAAATGTGGATTTGCTTAGTTTGGAATTATTATACTACTATCAATTTTAAAGAAGGTTAAAGTGAAATAATAATGAATTAAATAAAACAAATTAAAAACAAAATCCACTCCATGCACAAATTACACCATTCACTCAGTATGATTTTTGATTCTTTTGAATTTGGTTGACTGGACTTACGATAGAAAGTTTAGACAGAAATCCATCATAAGTCAGGAACTACCTGTATACCTTCATTTTAAGGTGCTTATTGTCAAATAAATTGGGAAATGCATGTTTTTATAAAATGGCATTAAAAACATCTGTGAAGACCCAAACAGGGTCCAAAGGGAGGCAATTAACGACTTTTTGAATCAGTCAAGTTTCGTAGCGCGAAAGAGTAAACTTAAAGATTGGATTTAAACAATGAACCTTTTGTCTTGTTAAAAGATTTTAAACAATAGATAGAGTAAAGTCGAGGAATATGAGGTTGGAGAGGAGTTGTGTTCCGACGCAATGTTGACCTCTCCCGCACCCTTCGTTGGGTTTTGAATTGTTGCCATGTGACGAGGGGAGACCAATGGAGAGGCGACTGTGGTAGAAAAATTGATAAAACCGCGTTTTCGGAAACTTTACAAGATCTTGGGTTTTGGGGCATAGTGCTCACCTGCTGGGATTTGGTGCTTACGAAAGAGACACGACGAAGGCTCTTTCGACGCCTTTGGAGGTGGTTTCGCCAACCCGTCACGTCCCAAATTGCCGAGGTCATGTCCAGAATCATCAAGGTTCGACTCGTCCACCGAGGACATCTCTACTAGTGCTGGTGTGTGCCCCAGGACCATCATTCTCTGCGTTCAGCATGTCGAAAACACCCAAGGACCGATCGAACTGTCAAACTTTTCTGGTTTTATTGGAACTGTGATAGTATATTGGATAGGCTTTCGCCTGACATGTTGAATTGTTGTAAGAATAATTTATGTATATTATTAAACGGTTTTATATGGTAAACCTGTCTCAGTGAGTCATTCTGCTCCCATAAGACAGTAATGACCGCTTGGCTGTCAAAAACACCCCATCCCAATGAGCTGACCTCACACATCTAACATATCACAAAAAAGGAAAACACTGTGATTTTATTTATTTTTAGTTTATGCTAGCAAATAAGTACAATCGACCCCCCTATAAGACGGTAGATACGTTCCATTCTTTATGAATCAATTTTGTATGAGTCCTTGCCAATCACAGCTCGGCACGTATGCACTTTACGGATTATGGCTGTTTGAAAGGTTTTTTTCCATAGAATTAATCGATTCCTAGACTAATTCGACTCAACATTTCCAAAATACGTATATTTTTTTGGGAATAATCCGTATAAACTATGCTATAAACAAAAAATTGTAGGATTACTTACCAAGTGTGCACTGTTCGACGTTGCCATTGCTTAAGTTTGTTTTCATAGCAGAGCAGCGCACCAAACGACAGCCGCGATTTCTGATAAGGTATTTTTCTGCGAAAACTTCATTGAACTTTGGAGACATCATTAATATAAATAATTTTTCTTAACCCCTTTCCAAGGGGTTAAGAAAGCGTTCGTATTGGAAAGATTAATTTCTATACACATCGGTTAAAGGTTCAAGTAGGTCTTATTTATTTTATTCAAAAAATTACAACTACAAAGCAGACAAATCACTATATCAATTTTTATCAGTTGCTTAGATTGTAAATGACATTACAAAAGCAAATATATTGAAAACATTTCCATTCCTTTAAATGATTAGCAAATTGCCTTCTTCAGGGTACATCTATGTGGCAGCAACAGCAGGTGTGAACATGCTATCAAGTAGAGTGGGCAAACCGATACAAGCAAATGTGCATGTTTGGAGTAATTGCGTTTAGCAATGGTTCAGCAACCACCAGATTGATGCTTCTACATGCACATGTAGGAAGCTGCTACCAAGCAGGTACGCTTCCACTGCTCACACTTCTAAAGAAGAAAGCTGGATTGTCTTTTATTTCATGGTACAAACAATGAAATTCACCAAACTGATGACATTTCTTATAAATATTGTTTTACCAAAGCTTCCTATAGGTAAAAGACACACTTTTTCCTATAAGAAGTTTCTGTAAAACAATGTAGAAAATTGTTTTCCATGGTAAGCATTTGACAAAGTCATCTCACTGTCATTTGTGAACAACAATCATCCATTCCAGACAGATGTCACTCATAAGCTGGAAGCACATACAATGATTCTTTCCACCTGCAGTCACTGGATGCTGTCACATAGGTACTCAATATTTGAACTCTTACCACCTAAACTGACCTTTGTCCGCCATTCTGTTCATAAGTTTCATTTTTCTTTTTTCCTAATGCAAATTTGATGTTTTTGTAATATATCATATTCTTCACTATATGGTGATCACATTAAAATACAGTATAGCTTCCAGCATGTACCTCCTGATAGTGGACACCTCTAAACAGCCGACAAACTTCTCAGTTTCACTATTCAGAGGTTATACTGTATATGAAAACAGGAAAGCAAACCAGTAATTGCACCAGCAATTACTGGTTTGCTTTCCTGAGTGTTAATGTGTCTGGTTATCATGTTTCTTATTACAAAAACTGTTTATTTTGTCAACTTCCCTTCAAATAAATATTAAGCAAGTCTGTGTAAATATCATTTTTCATTTTGAATTAAATTTGAATAATTATAAATAATGCAAAAAATCCAGGTTGCAGTATTACTGAAGATAAAACTTTTTTCCACTCCTGGCGATGTTAATTATTAATTATACTGCCTTAAGTTAAAAAATTTTATTTTAATGCTACAGCTTTAATTTTTTCAAAAAGCAAAAAAATTTATAATGCAGAAATGTGTATAGTTTTCAATCGTGGACATAAATTTTAGCAATGGTTAAATAATTTTTAAAAAGCTATATCCAATTATTTATGGTCTGAAATAATATCTCCAGTGCACACCATTATTACGCAGACTATCATCAACATCAACTTTGAATATCGGCAAGTAAACTTTTTCCACACTTGGTTCCAACACTGAAAAAAGAGAGAAAGTTCAAACATTTATCAAATAATAAAATTTAATCGAATATTAAGTTTTGATTTAAAATTTTGAATATTTGCATGGGCATACTAATTGCAGTTATGTACTTAGGTTTTAACTGTGTTTAGGTTGATTTTCTTTTCTTCATCCACCTACCAAACTGCATCATATGCAATTCATGTGATCTTAGGGAAGTGTCTAATAGTATAAACCAGTGTTATTCAAACTGTGTTCCATGGAATCCTGGGGTTCCACAAAATGTGATAAAGGGTTCCATAAATATACATAAAATATTCATTAAAATGATGAAAATAATAAAAATAAAAAATAAATTATTCTGAATTGACCGAATGAGTCAGCAGTGTTCGTGGCTATGCACTGGCTGCTACATTGATGCATCATTAGTAGTGTGAGTGGGGGTGTGGGGAGCAGAACACTGCTCGAGTGTCAAACTATCATTGATGTGAATGTTCATTTGATAACTGGTCACATATGAATGTGAGTATTTGTGCCAGCTGCAAATAGTGGCCATTTCAACTTGCTTACCATAATTAAAGTGTGTAAATTGTACTTTTATAATTTGGCTGTTATTTTTTCTGCAACATATAGTTGTTATAAAAGTGTTCAAGGTAAGCCTTTTGTAATTCTAGTGCTTTAATCATAAAATT